TATCTTCTGTGCCTCCTTATAGCAATTTATTTTTAAGTGAAACTTAATAACAATGAGTGAACTAGACCTGGTGGCCCACCCCTGTAATCCCAGCACTTGGGAGTGTGTCTCAGTGTCAGGGTGCCTGACTAGAGCGTGTGTGAGGGTCCTGGTTCTGTACCCTGCACCACAGAAAAGTGGGAGGAAACATCACATGGAGAAATCACCAAACGTGGGTCCCTTGATTCTTCATGCCATCAGGTTTGCATCATTTATCAAGCAAAGCACCTTCTGGGCATCCAGCAGTCACCTAGTGGAGAAAGGGACTCTGTGGTCAGACACAGACCATGCCAACCACCAAGTAATGAAGACTGGATGGTCTGTGGAGACTCTGGTGACACCACAAGCTTGATAACCTAAAGAAACAGTGTCCCTTCAGTTTTGTAGGTCTGGATCTGGCAAGGGTCTTCCTGAGCTAAAGACAAGGTATGGCTAGGCTGCCTTCCTTTCTGCAGGTCCAGTGGAAAATCCACTTCCTCCTGCCTCCAGTTTCTGGAGGGACTTGTGGATTCTGTCCACTTTCCTCAACTTCAGAGCTGGCAGTAACAGTCAAGGTCCTCTCCCATCCCACCACGGTGACTCTGAGCTCTTAGCCTCCCTTTGCTTCTTTTTCATTTTTATCGGTACTGGGGATCGAACTCACGACTGCCTGCTTGCAAGGCAGGTGCTTATGCCGCTGAGCTAAATCCCCAGGCCCCTCCCTTTGCCTCTTGAAGACCCCTTTGGATTATGCTGGGTCGACTCAGAAATTTCTAATCTCTGTTGGACAAGTTTGTTTTCAGCAGGGTGTGGCAGCATACATCTATAATTCTAGCTGAGGCAGGAGGATTGCTGCAAGGTGAAGGTCAGCCTGGGCTAGCTACATAGAAGTTCAAGGCCAGCCTGAGCTATGAAAAAGACCCTGTCTCAAAAAGCAAACAGACAACAAGATATATTTTCGTTATGGTAAAACACACACAAAACTTCCCATCTGAACCATGTTCAGGTGCACAGGTCGGGGGCATTAGGTATGCTCACACTGCTGACCAGCTGTCCCCACGTCCACCTCCAGAATGTCCTCATCTTCCCACACTGAAGCTCTGCCCCCTTAACCACTGATTCCTCAGCGCCCTCTTCCTGCTTCCATCTGCAACCGAATTCTCCCGTGCCAGACAGGACATTCTCACAAATCCCGGGGATGACAAGGTGGGCTTCTGTGGGAAGTCACTGTTCTGCCTGGAAAAGCGCCCTGGGCCTACTGAGTCTCACAGTGCACCTGAGAGGTGGGATTTCCTTATTTACTAGGAGGAAGTTTCATTAACAGAGAAATTAACCACATTAAATCTAGATGGCTTGTTTATGGGAAATCTTACAGAGCAGAAATGACAACTGAGCTGTCTGGCTCATGGAATTTTTAAATGTTCATTGAATAAGCACTATTGTAACAATGATAATGTTGGGGGAAAAACAACCTCACCACGCAGCCTGTGTTTACTGTACTTGAATGACTATATTCCTTACATGGCACCACCTTCACAATCATAATCAAAAGCAAGGGGTCTGTTTCCGTGGCAGAAAATGTCAGCAGAAAGAAGAAAGAACAGAATTCACAACACTGGATGGAAGCAAGGACCTGAAGGCATCTTGGTGCCTCCAGAAAAGCCAGTTACTCAATGTATCACTGTATCACATTGCAATACATGCTCAAATCATTCCATGCAGTTGTTGCTTTGAGCTGGGTCTTGTTATGTTGCCTAGACTGGCCTGGATTGTCTGGGCTCAGGCAAGCCTCAAAGTGCTGAGACCAAAGGCATGTGACACTGTGCCTGGCCCATCCAGCTGGGAAGGTGTGTCCTGGCACTTGAGCATGTGAAATGCTTCTAGCAAGCACCTGACTAGAGAGAGAGAGCTGTCTTATCTTTTGGTTTTTGGAAGACGAGGACTCATTATCTAGTTCAGGCTGGCCTCAAACTTTCAGCAATTCTCCTGTCTCAGCTTCAAGAGTGTGCCACTTCAGCTAGTTGAGGTGGCTGTTTTTAATCCTCCTCAGATAAAGAAGCTGAATATCTGCAAGCCAGTGTAGGAGGCAAAGCACCTGCCCACTCTACCAGCGTCTGCAGGGTGCAAGAGCACAGGGCACAGCTCTGGGGCACCTGTGTTCTCTTCTTGGTTACACAATCTGTAGCTGGAGGTAATAATGAAGGTGGAACCAGCTGTTCCCCACCAGAGCCCTCCCTCACCAGTCATTCCACATGCAGGGACAGCACCCGGGACATGCTCCGTTAACTTCCCATGCAGTCCCTTTCTGGACATCTTTGGTTGAACAAGGACCAGCAAAAGTATCTTCCACACACAAGACAAGAAGTTTCACCTGCTCTCAGTTTTCCTTCTCTGTGTGCACTTCAGAGCTGCCCAAAGTGGCCATCAGAAACTGCAGTGCTTCCCAGAGATCCTTGCTGCCTCCATACCATGAAATCACTCCTCATGGCTGGGCCTCAACAGAGAAAAGCCTGCTAACCTCTGACCTCCAGCTTCCAGTGGCTGAGAGCACAAAGGGGCCCAGAAACCCAGTCCCGAGTTGTTCCTCAGACTAAAGGGGTCCTTGAGATCAAACTTAAGAATTACAGATGTATGACTCAGCAAAATGGAAAGGGACCTGTCCACTTTGTGTCCGGGGTCTGCAAGGCCCCTGCCACATCTATGGTCACAGAGCAAATGGGTAAACAGTGGGCAATGGAAACACTGTTACCATATATCCCGTATCATGTCACACCCGAGTTCAAGATCTGCCCACCCTCTCCAACAGGTAGCAGCAGCTTCACTGGTAGACAGTTCCCTTCTCCCACCCCCAAACTATAGTCATACATGAGAGTTTCCACACTGGGGACCCCTTGATGCACCAAATTTTTTGTGGGAGGAGAGATGGACTCTCAGGATTGTATCACACAAGCAACACTGGCAAAGTTCTGCTATCAAGGTGGAGGCAAGGCAGGGCACTGGGGATGCTGCTGCCAGCTCAGAGGCTGGAGGGGCTTTTCAGCTGGGCTTCCACAGGAGGGCCCAGCAGGCAGGGTATGAGTGGAACCAGGTTTTCAAGCCCTGCTCCTGGCTCCTGCTGGCAGGAAGAGTCAAGGGACCTCACCAGACAGTAAGGACAGTGCCCAAAGCTCAGGGTTCTGGGCCTGTCCCTACACCAGGACTATGGCTGCAGTAAGCTACTCTCAGCTCCTGCAAACGACACAAACATAATAGCGTTGCACAGCTATGATTTGCATTGTGCTTCCCTTGCTTCCAGGTATAACAGAGTGCCTTTTCCCAAAGGTTCAAAGCCCTCTTGTGCTGGCACTGGGTCTGGGAGCTGCCCAGGAAGGAAGGTCTGCCTGTCCACCTTGGAGGGAGCACCAGCTCCCTTGCCACTGCCCTGGGGGTTTCCAAAGAGGTGGCTAGTCCCTCATCCATGATTGTTCCTTTTAAAGCAGACTGGCCAGAGCCCAGGGCAGGTCCAGGAGCCAGGCCCTTGCTGCAGACACCAGCTCCTCTGCCCAGGCTCAGCACTTCCTTCAGGCCCTGAGGTGTGTGAGCTGAAGGAAACTAATGCCTCTGACTACACGGCAACCACTGAAGGATTCATTTTGAGAGCTGCAGCTCAGAAGTGATTGCTAAATATGGCATTTTCTGTTCTGATTGGAGACTTCCTTCAAATCAAGATTTGAGGGTGCATTTCAGGTGATAAAACGTGCCCTTGAGAAGGGGACTTTGCTTCACCTGAGAAGCAGCAGGATGGCACATTGGCTGGAGGGTGGTCCAGGCCAGGTCTCTCACGGAATGCAGGACACTGACACCCACAAAGGCACTTTCAACTCCAGAACAAAGTGACCAAGTATCAAAGCAAATCACACAGCAAATCAGTTAAAAAAAAGAAAAAAAAAGGTTTATTCGGAATATTTGATTTTTAAAAAATCATACGTATGAGGTATACTACAGAAATCCAGACACAGTAAGTTGTATATAAAACCCAACCTAATAGTGGGAAAAGCAAGACTGCAGAAATCACTTCCAGAGAGAAAACATGCACATCAGGACCGCCAAGTGTCCCCAACAGTCATAACATTTCCGTGGATCTGTCCCCCAATCATGTGCACCAACAAGACTGGCCCTGGTGTCTCAGGAAGGACAGGTATTTCCCCTGCAAGTAGCAGGCAGTATGGACAAAGTGGCTTAAAGAGACCACCGTGGCACAACGGGAAGGAACGCTTGCTTGTTCCCAGTCGTATTTTAGCCAACTCAATCACATTTTAATAACTAAACACGAGATTTTGGCAAAATGCACAACCCCCTGATGAGGGCGTCCTTCTGGCAGTCCACAGCAAGGTACCTGCCTCCCCCAACTGGGGGCCATCCAGCCACACATGTCACCCCCCCTGCATGAGCAGACAGCCATGGGAGCAGCCCTGGGTGGCACCCAGGCCCAACACTAGCTTTAAGCTCACCTCTAAGCCCTTCACTGTGGGCCAGTGTGTAAGACAAGCAGTGAGGGAACAGTGGAAGGACGTGGTGACACCTAGCAGGGCAGGAGTCAGGGGTCAGGAGAGCCATGGAGATAGGGATAAGACAGGGGCACAGGAGAAAGCCTCGCACAACCTTGGGTCACATGGGATGAGATGTGGGGGTGTCCCACCTGACAGGGGAGCCAGCGCCCCTCCAGGGGTTCCCACCAGTCTTACTCTTGACCCGGGTCTTCCCTCCACTTCCGAACACTGCTGCCCCACAGAGCTTATGTAGTCAGCCACTCCCAGAGCTGCAGACATGGACATCAGTCCTGGGAGACCCAACAGTCATGACAAACATACAGACAACATGCACTGCTGACCTCAGGAGAGCCACAGGTACCTGAAGTGGCTACACATGACAAGGCAATTTGGCGAAAAAAAAAAGAAAAAGAAAAAGAAAAAAAAAAAGTTCAAAAACAATCACCAAAGTCCTCCTAGGGAACATGATTACAATTTATTAGCACATTCTGTGGCATCAACATTTTCAAAAGCATCAGTAGAAGTATTAAATATAAAATCAATATGTATATTTCCCTCCTCACCCTCAGAAAACAGAACAAAAAATACAAACCCAAAACCCCAAACCAGCAAAGGCATGATCTGAAGTGTGATTCTGTACAGGCCCGCAGGGCAGGCGGGCCGCCTACTGCCACATCTCCACATAGTTGGCCGGGAAGAGCCCGTACAGGCGCCTGCACACGCTGCGCTGCCAGCCTTCCTCATGCATCATTTCTATGTTGCTGATGATGTCATCAGGGTCAAAGGAGATTTCGTCACCACGCGCTGGGAAAAAAGCAAAGAGAGAGACACAAATGGAAAACATTTCCAGGGGGGCTGGGAGGAGCATGCAGCAAGAAGAAGGAGGCAGCCACAGCCCGTGTAAGGCTGGGATGCACAAATGTGAGTGGCGTCTTCCAAAAACATCCACCCTGGCCAGACACTGTTTTTGAGAAATGGCCAGGATGGGTGGGAACTCGCCTTCCTTCCCACCTTCACTGGGGGAGTGAGGGAAGGGTGCCACCACTGACAGGGCACAGGGGGACGAGGACATGTAGGAGGGGTGGTCAGGGTGGGTGGTTCTGAACACAGGAAGGGGTCTAGAAAGAAGCCCAGGTGACGGGCTGGAACACAGGTCACGGGATGAACTCAAACATATGTACAGATGCCAAAATATCAGAGAACCCATTGAAGAATAAATAGAAACATGTGTGCTGCTGGGCATGGTGGTGCACATTTGTAATCCTAGCAGTCGGGAGGCTTACACAGGAGGATCACATGGCACAAGTTCAAGGGCTACATAGTGAGTTTAAAGCCAGCATCAACTCTATTTCAGGTGATAAAAAGGTTTTATCACTTGAATAGAGACCCTGCGTCAAAAGAAAAAAAAGCAAGAGAAATGTATAGATAGGGGAATAAATAATAGCAGGTGCAGAAAGGCCACGCTCTGCCTTTGACCGCCCCCACTCAGCGGGGAGGAGGAACTGGGAAGCTACTGTCAGGGAAGGCCAAGTGAGGCTGAGAGAAGACAGGACCTGGGGGGCTCACCATAGCGCCTCGCAGTCATCAACTGCTACTGGAGTGGTGTGGATTGGCAGGTGATAGTGACCAATGCCACAGAAATAACATACAGGGTAGGGCAGGGATTTATCTCAGTGGTGTAAGCACCTGCTTGGCAAGTACAAGGTCAGGAGTTCGATCCTGGGTACCACAAAAAAGACAACTCAGCACAGGGAGGCACCGAATTGTATCTGTGGCCTTCCTACCATGCGAGCACCAACTCTGCTGGGCCCTGGCCAACTGTGGAAGGACACGGCCCAGGAACAGGGCCAAACAGGACCAACGCCGAGGGGTGTGTCATGTGCACAAGTGACCTCCCAGAGGGTGGAGAGTGCTGGAAGTACTCATATGAGACCCTGGATGTCCTAGACATGCACAGTGCAGTTTTCGAGTTTTGTTTTCTGTATTTTTGTAATACTAGGGAGGGAATGGGGGCCACCTGCAGGCGTTTCACAGAGCTACATCCCCAACACATCTATTTCTTTGGAGACAGGGTTTTGCTAATTCACCCAGACAGGGTTCAAATTTGCATTCCCCTGTTTTGGTCTCCCAAATAGCCAGGATTGCAGGTACGTGCCATCACATCAAATGGGGTTTTTAGGGGCAATGGGGACCTTGCAGGTCCCCGATGGATCTGTAATTGAAGTAGTTAAGTGCATGAGTTTGTACATGCACACATGCAGAAAATTAGGACCTGGTTGAGACATGAGAGTCCTTGTCACTGTACTGGGAGTTTTTCTGTAACTGAAACTATTTCAAAATAGAAACTGCAGCATCACTGGAAAAGTCAGATTCTTAGGGGCTGAGTTGGCAGGAACAAAGGGCAGGAAGTTGCTCAGGCGCCTCACCAGCCTGGTAGTCCTAAAGTGCGATGGCTGTGATGCCCAGGTCGTTCTCATACTCGTCATAGGTGTTCTCTTCTGAAAGGAAATGGGGACAGTTGAGCAGCAGCTGGTACCCACCTGTACCTCCCCACTGTAACTGCTTTTCACACAATGATTCCCAAGATTTGGGGCAGGAGCACTTGCTAGGAAAAAATCTCAGTGAGTGAGCTCCACTCTGAGGGCAGCAGGAGAGAGGAAAGGAGGCACCTCCTGGAAACTCAAGAGAAGACTCCAGCTTTCAAGAGCAAGTCCATGGACTCCCAGCTCTGCCATCACCCAGGGAACATGGCTCTCATGACCATTTTGAGAGTATAACTTTTAAAATGCAAAATATCTAGCATCATCAGGGAAGTGAATAAGAGAAGGGACAGGGCAATCAATGCCTGTGACGCTGTCAAGGTAAGAGGCCTCCCCCCCGTCACGTGTGTTCTCAGCCCAAGTGGCTCCTGCCCTCCATACCGACCACATTACCACATTGCTCCATGTGGGATAAGGGGTCTGTGCTGGACCTGGCGTACTACAGGAAACCTCAGTATTAAAGGACAATAAGCAAAACTGCAGTGTTCACCTAGATCAAGGGCAGAAAACCTTTTGGAGACCAACTAACTACTCAAACTGTAACACAAAACCCACTTATGTATCACAAAGTGATAATGCTGTAATTAAACCTGAATACCGAGGTTTTAGTTTACAAAAATAACCTAATTCAACGCTGGGTTTCTGGTGGGACTTGGATTGTGAGCCAACAGAGAGGGCTCTGTGCATACCCACTGCAGCAAGCATGCTATAGGTTCACCACACTGACCTAAGTGAAACACCTGCACCATCTTCAAGCCGCAGAAAGCTATTTTACTTCTTAGACGAAGTTCAAAGGCCAGTGTGGGGTTTGCTTTTACAGTGCATCTCAAGCTGGACTAAAATGTAAAGTTTGGTAGCCGCATGCAGTAGATGGCTGCTGAATTGCACAGGTGGGGTCTGGATCATGTTTTGAGAGGCAGCAAGGATTCTGGTCTCATTTAGGTAGGTGTTTAGATTGTGTCCCACCTGTAAAAAAGAAGCTACAATCAGCTGCCCCTGAGTGCAGAGGATTCTCCCCAGGAAGTAGCCACCCTTGAGGAGAAGCCCATTTCTTTCAAGAGGGAAAGAAATGTGAAGATAGACAATCCAGCACTGATTAAAGCCCTGTATAATATTTTACTCTGTAGCTACACGTGAAGCAGCTCTTCCTGTTAAGCAGATCCACTGCTGGATCTTGTAATGCGTCTATGCAGTGAAAGACAGAGAGGAAAGAAATCTAATGGCATAGTGTTACCCTCTGAAGAAAATTTTCCGGAAGCCACACAAAAACTTCAAGTTATACTTCACTGAGCAGCATCTGGTTCCATGGCAACACCTAGCACCCTGCAGAAGTCCGGATTCTGCCATCCAGTAAGGGGTGGGGACGACCAGGTCTCAGCCCACCGCCTGCCCATTTTGATCAGTCTGCTCGTGTGTCTGTGCCAAGTTGCTTAATTATACCTCTTCTGGGTCTGGGGATTTAGCTCTGCGGCATAAGCGCCTGCCTTGCAAGCAGGCAGTCGTGAGTTCGATCCCTGGTACCGATAAAAAGGAAAAAGACAAAAAAAAAAATTATACCTCTTCCATAAATTCCGGATGTTTGTCACAGCCTCACAGGACTTACATCTTTATTGTCTTGATTTATTTTGCCTATTTCTTCTCCCACCTCCAGCATCTGAGTGTTTCCCCATATAAATGCCAGTCTTAACTGTAATTAATCTTTTTTTAATTTTTGGCCTGCGTGATTGGCAAAAGCAGTCTCACTGTTTATAAGTGCATTCGTTATACTCTTAAGGAGATTGAGCGACATTTCGTGTTTTGTGACCATTTTTTATTCCTTCTCTGTGAATTGCCTTTTCTGGTCTTTTGGACATTTTTCCAGGGGATTTTTAGAAATCTTTTTCTCATTGATTTATAAGAGCTTCTGTAATATTTAATAATAGAAGTATTGGTCCTTAGAAATTGTCTTTGTTGACTCTCAGCTCTGTGTGTGTTTCATTGTCTGGATCTGTCAGTGTTTCACTTACAATTTTGGCTTTGATATTATCACTGTTAAGGGTTTCCTCATCCCGAGATCACCTTCTTATAATACTTTTATATTTCTTTTATCTTGACCGTAACTTTTTTCCTTGGCATAAATCCCATCTGGGTTTATTTTGGTTAGAACTTGCTGCCTGCCTCAGGCTTTGCCATTTTATCACATAGTGAAGTCATCAACTATATGCTGAAAACTTCTTTCTTATCATATTTTTTCTATTGTATTCTAATTTCCCTTCTATGCTTGAGTCTTTCGGAAAGAGCTAGAATTTTTATTGATTGATTGCTACACCTGTTGAAGAGCACTTCCTATTTCACTGCTTCCCCAGCTCTGTAATAAAGAAAAAGAAGAGCAGGAACCAAGTGACCAGGACAGCGAGGAGGCTGTGGACGTGGAGGATGAAACTGCAGATGGAGCTGAAGCTAAGCCACGGTACGGATGGGCAGAGACCTCGAATGCCTTGGGAACTTTCTACTTTACTTTTATACAAGACTCCAGACTTTCTTTTATTCTTTTTTGATTAATTAATTTTTTTTTTTCGGATCTGGAGTTGAACCCAGAGCCTCCTACCTATACTGAGTTGCATCTCTTCAAAACTCTCTGGAAGAGGACACAACTTATTCTTGGGGGCTTTCCCTATGATTGTTTGCTTACAGCTCATCACTGCTTTAATCTTGTAGCTAATATGTAGCGCCTTTAGCGCTAGCTCGGTTTCATCTAGGAACTGTTGGGCTTTCAGGCCTCACTGACAGTGAGGGGGTCTTCATTGGCCCAGAACTGGCCCACAGCCATGCTGATGCAGCTGTCTGGTATAGGCTGATGGTTCAGTGCTTGATGCTGTGCTGGATTTTCAGGAATGGAAGGATCAACAACTTCTCCACAATGACAGAGTCATCCTGGAAGTGCTGTCATCCTCACGTAAGGCATGATGGATGGATCAATGTAAATTGTGCCTAGTTGGGTTCTGTCATTATAAAATAACCAGTAATAATGTTGAATGAAGCTGGACCTGATCTGCACCCAAATTATCTTGTCTCCTAATCTAGAGTGTCACCCAGTATCACTGAGACCCAAGTTGACTCTGAAGGGAACCAGGTGGCACTGCCCATCCTTAGATCCTCGCAGACGGGGTGGCATGCTGTAAGGATAGTGTCTGCCCATTACAACTGCCTGCTTAGGTAGCAAATTTTATTTATTTATTTTTTGTCTTTTCCTTTTTTATCAGTACCAGCGATCGAACTCATGACTGCACACTTGCAAGGCAGGCGCTTATACGGCTGAGCTAAATCCCCAGCCCCTAGGTAGCAAAATTTAATCAAGCCAGGCCAGACAGGGTGGAACCCTAAAAGCCCCTTCTGGTAGTCAGGACCAGAAAAAGTCTGGCCACAGCACAAACTACAACACAGGCCAGCACACCAACCACGGTACTGTACAGTCTGGATAGCACCTGTCTGGCTCTCAGCATTCCCCATGGCTGCCGCTTCAGAGGACTGATGGGAGGCCTGAAACTCATTATATTTGAGGCTCTGTCTCATTCACTTTTATCAAGAGAGACACGGGGACCCCTTTCCAGGATGACATCTCTCTGGCCTTGGTTGTATTCTGTATCCTGCCCTAACCCCAACTCCCCTCATAGGAACTTGCCCCCAGTTCATTGTCTAGCATCTGCAGTCTCTTCCTATTTAGGATCTAGTTAGGAACACACAGTTCTTGACTTAAAATTCCAGGCTGGGGATATAGCTTAGTGGCATGAGCAACCGATTGGCAAGCACAAGGTCCTGAATCTGAGTCTCAGTATAAAAAATAAAACAAAAAATTCTAATGAGAATGAACAAACTATAACCACAGACAAAAAAAACCATCATATACATGATGCTGAAAGAACACAAGAAACCAGCATACACTGCATGATTCCATTATAAAGTTTAAGGAACCAAAACAAGTTTGTGCCATTATAACCTAGGATAAGACCAAGAGATGGAGGGAAGGGGAAGGAGGGAAAAAAGACTGAAAAAGACATGTTATGTGCATGTTCCACTTCTCCATGTGATCATTATGTGCTGCAAACATCTACTAACAAAACAATAGGATAGTATTTACTTTTGGTGATCGGAGTTGAGGCTGCTACAAACTAGAAGACGACTTAGGATGCATGTAATGTTCTATTTTTAATCTAAAGGCTGTTATATGCAGTGTATTCAGCGCATGGAAGTACAGTGAGCTGCACCTTTATGGTCTGTGAGCTTTTCTCAAGGTATATACTTGAATAAATACATAAATAAATGCCAATTCAGGCTGGCCTGTATTATTACGTGCGGTACTAAACAACACTCATTTATATGAATGTGGTCCATCATTTCAGAGGTGAGCTCGGATCATCAACATTCATATTCAAGTGTAATTTTGCTGTACTGTTGTTTGGGAGGTGCATTTAGAGGCTTGCACCCCACCTGGGGAAAAAGTACCACTTTCTGGAGACTCCGTGTAAACTGTGGCTCATAAATCACAACTCAAAATTTGCTCACAGACTTCCTGTAGGCCCAATCACCACCACCACCCTACAGACTTCAGGACGGACAACGCGTAAATCTGGAATGAAGCGAAACATCAGGAATACCCCAAACCGCAAGGAAGATATGCAACAGATCCACGCACACAATGAGGACCGTAAAGTTCTTAAGAAACTCAAATTGTATCGTAAGGTTAAGTTAGCAAGTGACGTAAACCCAAACTACATAAAACATAGTACCTCAAAAGGAACGGCGCATCATGCCCATGTAAGGTGGGACGGGTAGTTTAGGATCCCGTGAAGCATTCCTCAAATCCTCCACAATGGGGAGGAAAAATAACTCCCTAGGCAGCGAGACCGAGCTGAGACCGCAGGCCGCGCGGGACTGGCGCGTCTACCCCGGTCCCGGCTGGGAGGCGGGCCCGCGGCGATGGCGTCATCTTCCCGCGCCGACGCATTGGTTTCCCTGGCAACCGTCGAGCCAGCGGCGCTGAGGCGGGAGAGATGCTACCCCGGCGCCCGCGCGATCCCCTGCAGGCGGTGCGGCGCCGCAGTCAGGAGCTGAAGCTACAGGTATGTTGGGGCGCACGGCGAGGGGCTGGGCCTGAGAAAGGGCCGGCTGTGCTGCGGGCGAGAGGTGGGGCGCCTTCCTCTCCGTGACCCCAGGCCTCCCAAGAAACCACGTCCAACCCGCCCTTCTCCCGGGTTGGAAGTCTCCGCTCCCCCAGCCCCGACCCTCGCGCCAAGTCCGGATTCCAACCCAACCCCCAGCCACTGACGAAACGGCCCGAAAATCGTGACGCCCACTGATGTCCTCCTCCCTCCGAGCTCAGCCTCCGCCCCACCTCGACAGCCCCCCTCACCTCGCAGCCGAGCTCTGCAGCGGCTGCCGGCTGCCGCTTCCCGCCACCAGGCGATGCCTGTTACTCTCGGCAGAATTCAGGCCTGAGTAGGCTCAGGGTGTGAGAACACTGCGATCTGACAAACTGAACCAAGGACGGGAACGAGAGAGAAAACACAAGTAACTGTGAGCGCGAGAGAACGTTAATTTCCAAAGATAACCCAGTAATCGCAAAGGAAATGAGCTACCACAAACGTATAAAAGTCACAGGACTCAGCCCTGGAGCCGAGGACTAAACAGATGCTTAACATTGGCGACCCGTGTGTAAGGGACAGCATTACTGGAAATCGGCTTGACAGAATGAAGAGCCATTCACGCTCTTCGGCTGGGTAGTTGATAGGATTATTTCCAGAAGATGAAAAATATTCCCAAAAGATGAGGAGTATAAATCAAAAGAGGCCTTTATTCTGGGAACACGGAGAGAGAGGACTGGCACGCTGGCTGCTGAAATCTGGTGATGTCTCACGCTGACACGTGGCATGGGGGGGGAATATAAGTAGCCTAAGCTTAGGGCAGTGCCCTAAGGCCATTAGAGATGCACAGGTATTTCATTGGCACACGTTTGGTGCCAGGGGCAGATTCCAAAGGGTGGGGGGGGGGTATAGGGTTACAGGTAAATCTCTAGGGGCGGGGTAGACAGGAGCTCCCTAATTCTGGCTGAGGCTTTTTCTGGCTGCAGTGTCCGGTCTGGGTCAACAACCCTTTCAGTAGTTACATTTCCAAAAATCTGCTGTGTGAGATGATTAAAAATTGGAACAAAGATCAGCGGTAAATGTTCATCACATTGCCGCTTGTAATAGAAAAAATACTGAGACTTAAATGATCAGTTATAGAGGAATGGATAAATTGATTGATTGATTTGTACTCAATCTAGAGCAGTTCAGAATATTAAAGCGAGGAGGCAAGTAGATATTAATAAGGGGGGTCACGGAAGGAGTCACTACAAGGAAGGCTGTGGCGGCTCTCTGCAAAGGGCAGGTTTTGCCTGATACAGCCTCTGATGGGGGTCGGGCTCTGGGGCTGATGTGAGCTGATTTATTTTTTGAAATTGTAGAGGATTGGGTAAATCTTTACATGCCTGAGATTTGGCAGACTTTTGGGAGGGAGAAGCCGTAGGGGCTTCTGGGAAGAAGGAAGTGTGCATTATCAGGGCACAGCTTTGAACCACTGCTGTGATGATTGTGCTGTCTCTCAGGTGGGCGGACCTAACATAAATAACTTAGGGGTAGGATAATATTGTCACTAAAATTTGTTGAGGCATATAGTATATAGAGAAAATATGATAAAATAGCAAGTTAGAGACATAGAAAGGATTATACAATATTCTGGTGACATGGACAGAGATAGAAGGTAGCATACTAAAATGGTACGGGTATGGTTAAACAACACTAGGTTATTTTCCTTGTGTATATTTTCAAAGCATTGAGTGCTTATTTTAAAAATAAGAAAAAAGTAATGGACTGTTCATTTATTTTCTGAAATTTACATTTCACTTTACTGTTTGTACTTTTTAAAAGTCTGATTCACCATATATTTTTCCACTAAAATAAAATTATTAAATTTTTTTGACAGTTATAAGATGATCTCAGGTTCATTATTTTATGCTGTTTAAACTCTTATTTAAAAGTTTAAAAAAAATTTAAATGTTTTCACCCTTGCCTAGCATGTGTAAGACCATCTCCATATCATGGGAAAGGAAAAAAAATTTAAATATTTTCATCATAAAGAAGTAATAATTGCTTGAGGAGATAGGTATGTTTAACCTCATTTAAATGTTATACAAGGTATAAATGTATTGAAATATCATTGGTACCTCATAAAATATATAATTTTTGGGTTTTTTGTATCAGTTAAAAATAAATTGAACAAAGTACAAAAGATTTGGCAGATAGATTTTAGTGACTTTGAAAGATAAAATTTAGTGAATTATAGTGACTTTGGAATCATAGTGATGCAATAAAAACAAAATATTCTTGAGAAATAAAAGTAAAATTTGATGGGGCCCTGACTTCTGCTGAATTTTATTAGACTTAATAAGGTTGGGAGAAAATTTGAGTGATTCCCCTTGAATGCAGAATAATTGCTACAACTTTGATTATATGGAAACTTATTTCCTTATTCTGATATGTACAAAGCTGACTGTTGTATTTCCTTCTCTCTTCAATTGACTCTAAGATTGCAAACAAGGCTAGGGAGGTACTGGTGTGTAATCTCTAAAGCCCACAGACAGTCTCCTCACATGGTGTTCTACCTGTAAAGGATGTGAGCACAGCGGGGTGGTAGAGCCATCAGCTCCAGGAATGTCAGCTGGGTAGGAGCTCAAGGTAAAGAGGCTGTGACTCGCCAGGGCACCAAAGCTTACATATCAGAAACCAAAGCAACAGCCTCCTAAAACAGTTTATTTACTACTTTAATTGAATTATGCAAATCGATCCCTCTGCATATCCATATGTCTGCATTTTGCAGAGATGCTTTTCTCCCTACCTAGCCAGGCTGCTTAAGTTATCCACAGAATTATGGAATTCCCGCCATCCTCACTGTCACTCATCCTCAAGGCACCAGCTTCTTCACGAGATAATAAATTTGGGGAGACTTAGGATCAGGGCCTTTGTCTGCACATCCTCATGGGAGGTGATGAGTTCCCACTATCCTCACTGTCGCTCATTCTCGAGCCACCCCCCTTCTTCACAAGATAATAAATGCTGGGAGAGGCTGAGGATCAGGGCCTCTGTCTGCACCTCCTCATGAGGATTGGATTTAGGACCCCTTGGCTGCCCTTAACTTGGAATATATCATGGTGTCTTTACTGTCACAGTGGGTTGCATTGGAGTTGGTAAATTGGAATTAACTTGCCAGGATCCCAATAAAGCCTCAGGGATTATAAATATAACTCTTTGGATTGTGAAGAAAACTGAAAAAGGGATATATGCTATCTTATTATAATATAGATATATATTCTATATTTGTTTGCTCTTTTTTTTTTTTTTACTTTTTATCGGTACTAGGGATCGAACTCACGACTGCCTGCTTGCAAGGCAGGTGCTTATGCCGCTGAGCTAAATCCCTAGCCCCTTATATTCTATATTATAATTCTTGGATGACTGTATACAAAATTTGGGATTACAATAATATGGTTCTTACGTGATTTTAAATTTAGTGGAACATTAGAAGGACCAAGACAAGTTTCAGAAGGAAACTATAAAAATAATTACTAAAACAAAATAAAACCGACTATTGCAGGGATCAAATTGAATCATGAGCATTTTAATACTTTAAGTATCTGGAAAGAACATTTTGATAATATTAGCTAATTGTTTACTATCTCCACAACAGACGCCTGAAGCAAAAAAAAAAAAAAAAAAAAAGAAAGAAAGAAAGAAAGAAAGAAAAAAGACAAAAGAAAAGAAACAAAGAAAGAAATGTATTACCAACTCAGTGTCCATAGGCAAGGAATCCACTTCCTGTTTGGGGCATGCCTGTGATAACCTGCCCTATCAAAATCAATGTATGATTTTGTAACACTCAGGTGGATGCCACATAGGAAACACAGAGAAGAAGTTAATGAAATTTTCTCTCTTTTTTTATCTACTATCTTCTCATGCAATCTGTAGAAAAAAACCCAGAGATGTGCTTTTTTTGTGGTGCTTTGACAAGAATATACGTAGTACATGTAGTGCTTGTAAAATACTAGATCAAGATAAACAAAGTGGTGGTACACTTGATTCAATGAATTCTACTCAGTAATAAAGAATAAACTAACAATAACATGGAAGTATCTTAGAAACAGCACAGTAGAGAAATTTAAACATAAATATATACTGTGTAAGTCCATTTTTTTCAAAGTTTAAGAGCAGCTAAAGTTAATTTATGGTGGAAAAAAATAAACAGGTTTGTCTCTGGAAAGATGGGATAGAGATTTGCTTGGAACGGGAACTTTCTGAGGTAATTGATAGAATTTTCTGCATGGTAGGGAACCATCTGATAGAATTTTCTGCGTGGCTAAAAAGATAAGTATGAAATAAAAGCTGCCTTTATTTAAAGAATGTGGAGAGAGACTCTATGACCTCCAGGGTCTGGCATTCTCTCCACCAGACCGTGGTATGGGGGCATACATGTAGCTTAGGTTTGGGGTGGTGCCTAAGGGGCATTATTGATGCACTGGTAGCCCATTGGAATTCATTTTTTTGCCACAGGTAAATTGCCTCGGGGCGGGAACGGTGACCTCAAGATAGAGCCCCTTGATTCCACCTCCAGTGTCCCATCTGGGGCAAAATCCTTTCAGTAATTTCCTGTATCTTGATAGGGATTTGGGTTCTATAAGTGTATATGTTTGTCAAACTGTGACAAAGGTACACTTTAGGTTTGTGTATCTGGTGTGTCCATTTATAGCAAATATTAAACTCTAGTTAATGACACCCCCAAGGTCATTCTTTTTTTTTAGGTACTGGGGATTGAAACAATCTCGCACTTGCCAAGCAGGCTCTTAACACCACTGAAGTAATTCCTGACCCTAAGTTTGTTATTTAGGGAGAGTTGTACT